CCAAAGAAACAGACATCGCATTTGTGATCAGTGCTGCCGGTACAAACTCGATTGCAACCTTCATGAAGCTCAAAGATGTCATCAAGAACATCATTGATAAGTACAGCATTGGTAGTACTSGATATGCCGTGGTTACCTTTGGCGATACGCCTGTTATTAACACCATGTTTAAGGAYACTTATYCAAGGTAGGTAGTACTGTGTGTAARGTCAATCTATTGTAATACATCGAGTATTGATCGTATTCTATATGACTTAGTAATATRCCTGTTAGAGATTATTTTGCAAAAGATTCAAAACTATTTTTGAGTAATAAATGACGCTTATCTGTTTGTCTCACAACTGTTGGTCATTTGTAGAAAGGACCGTAAATTTTTGCTAGTTTTCGTCAGTTTTTGGTGTAGACTGATGCATCTGTTATATACTATTCGTATGATCATATGTGCTGTGATTGGATGTTATATTCGTGCTGTGATTGGCTGTTTCTTCGTTGCAGCTCCACCAAGAGTGTTATTGCCTTATAAATACTCAAACATAGCTTATTTATTCCTTTTTTAWAGTGATACAGACTTGAAGAACTTTGTTGAGAGCATATTCAAACCGTATGGGGGTTCAGATCTTGCYAAAGCACTAGAAACTGGACGCCTAGTGTTYGAACCATCCCGAGGTGCGCGTCCCAACGCACGAAAGATCCTGGTCCTGATAACAGAYCGTGAATCGGACAGCAGTGTGAAGGATGTCCAARACAAAGCCAAGGAGATCGARAGGGAGTATATTCGTATCATTYCTTATTCTCTTGGAAATGARGATAACAGGAAGGAGTTGAATGTGACCACGCCYATTAAAGATGACGTCATCGAGGGGAATGGAAATGACCCTGCGACAGAGATTAGTAAAGAGATTATCAAGAGGATCGAAAAAGGTAGGGAAAAGACGTTCTGTTTATGTCTAACTTAAATTCTTAATTAACTTTATGATTTACAACCAGCACCTCCCCTCTCATTCTACCCTTTCATTCACTCTAGTAAGAAATTTGTAGGTCGGAAAAGTCRTAGACTCTTACCCATACGTAAAAAGATTGTGTTTTGCGAAGGAGGCAAACGGGTGAAGCTGGAGAGAAACCCAGGAAGCACTGATGAACCAGCAGCAACGAAAAAACATGAACGGTAAATRATTTATTTTTATTTATTTATTTAACAGAACCTATTCCAGAACTTGATTTGGCCTTCGCACTCAGCGCAGACGCACTAGATGCTGACGAGACATTCAWCCTCCTTAAGGATGCTGTCACTTCAATCGTTGACAAATATGGCAAGGATAAAGTAAAATATGCTGTGATTGTCTTCGGAGCAAATGCTGAGACTCGGCTAAACTTCGGTGACCTTTCGGTGGATCTTGATGAYTTAAAAGAACATATCAATAATATGAATCAACCTTTTGGTCAGCCAAATCTGCAGAAAGCTTTGACTGAAGCTGATTTGGTATTCAAGAGGGAACGGCCGAGAGCGAAAGTGCGTAGAGTTTTGGTCGTCGCRATGGATAAGAAATCTGTCAATAGGTAAGTATTCTTTTGCTTTACTGTTTTTATCGAAGTACTTCTTTTTAACTGCTGTGTGTCGTTGGCAAATAGAATGAATGAGATCAAAACTGCTGCAATGCCTCTCGAGAAAGCCAACATCAAAGTCATCCCAGTGCTGGTGGGAAATACCGCTGACCCGCCAGACCTGACWGACATCACCACTAACAAAGGTTACATCGTGAATGGCACTAACGTAAAGGATCCTGATGATCTCGCTGAAGAAATACTCAAGAAAGTCAAAGTCGGTAAGACTTGTAATTTTGGTTGTTCAACTGATATCATAGACGTCATGTTGGAAGACGTTAACATAATAATTGTATATTTTCCACGTAAAAATTGCCATTTTTTAAATCTCTATCACATTTTGATTCTGCTAGCTACATCTGCCACCAAAGAGCATAGCGGCATGAGCAGAGTTTGTTGGATCTCAATTAAAATTTTCGGGTTCTTCACTTTTCCCCCCTCAACATCCCCAAATTGCAATTCCATTTATGAGTTTACCATGTACATCAACCAAGAAGTAGTTTCAGCCAGTAATGTCGCACYCGCTAAGAAGAGYTGTCGAGATTGGCCAAAACAAACAATRGTCKYTTTCCAGAGTTACAGTGTTAGTTWCRAGKWCTAATAAAATCAATGATTGTATTGATCTGTRATCTGTTTYYTTCTTCTTCTAGATCTTCCAAACGTCCCTAAGCTTGACCTTGCCTTCGCACTGAGTGCCAACGCCCTCSAATCCGACAGGAACTTCCAGACATTCAAGAAAATTATTAAATCAATCATCGACCAACATGGCACTTCCAGGATACGATATGCTGTCATAGTATTTGGCGACAGACCGTCTATCAAGTTACGCTTCACCGATTCTTACCCTAGCGACGAGTACCTTAAGCGTCTCCTTGACAACATACCACGTGTCCGAGGAGCAARGCTGGATCTTGCACTAGAGGAGTCCAAGGCTTTGTTTGATGCTAGATCTGATGCGAAGAAGATACTGGTGGTTATAATGGATAAGAAGTCTGGTTCTCGTGCCCCTGACATCAAACAAGCTGCAAGGTAAATATTCATTACGCAAATTGAACTTATTTTGAATTATACATAAGTTAAGCCAGTAGAAGTATTTTCCCTTCTTATTTCATGCATAAATAAAAATCAAAAAAAAGTCGAAGGAGAAACGAAAAAAAAGAAGAATATCAAGTCAATGAATCAACGAATCAATTAATCAATCAATTAATCGATATATTAATTAATGAATAAATGAATTGATAAATTCTTAGGAGGGCCACGAGTTTGTCAGTTTATTTGTACTGTTAATTGTCATCCTTGAAGAAAAAATGGAAAAAAAAAATGAGTGAACGATTGAAAGAAAGAATGAACGAACGAATAAGCGAACAAACAAAACAAATGAACACATAATCGGGAACGAGCCAAGACAGGCAGAGAAGAAGATTAAGGGAATGAGAAGTAAAGCAGTAAAATGAGAAATGAAAGAAAAAGGGAGGAGGATAAAGAGAAATGCAGGGAAAAAAGAAAAAATGAAACAATCAAACTTTTATTAACGATTGATTCTACTATAGTTCTGTAGAAGAAGCCGGTATTCGAGTGATTCCAGTTGTCTTTGGTCGAGAAGCAGATGTAGATGAAGGCGACTCTATCACTCCCGACAAAAGAGATGTCATTGTACCAAMAAATGAAAAGCCTGACGACATTGGGAAAGAGATCATAGACACCGTCCTTGAAGGTATTTGTTATTATTTAACAATTATTAGMCGAATGCTAAGTAAATGTCAGGGAATATTTAACGAAGCCGAAATCGAGCGGCGACGTAAATATTTTCCATATTCACTGAGCTTGAGGTGAATAATTGTTTTAGTATAATTTTAGGAGTAGACTAAAGTGATGTAATACCTAACAATTTACGCACTGAATGTCAAGTGAAGATATTTCTATAGCCCCTTTCTGATATATGTTTCGCTTGTCACTTAAAAGTTTCAATGTGAAAATATGATGAATACTAAATGAAAAATGCACATAATGCTAAACATGCTAAAAATGCTTAACTTTACGTAATTCGTGACAGGATAAAGGATTTAATTTAATTTAACACGTACCTCATACTAAAACCTTTGTGCGTGACAAGCGAAGCATATCTCGAAAGTGGCCTACATAGAAGATTACCCTCCAACAAGAATATACGTGCTTGGGGTCCGTCCGTCCGTCCGTCCGTCCGT